TTGGCTTGGCTTGGCTTGGCTTGGCTTGGCTTGGCTTGGCTTGGCTTGGCTTGGCTTGGCTTGGCTTGGCTTGGCTTGGCTTGGCTTGGCTTGGCCTGGCCTGGCCTGGCCTGCCCTGCTGGTCCCAAACTCTATGGTTTATGGTTTAGGGTTTAGGGTTTAGTGTTTAGGGTTTGATTTGGTGTGCTTTGGTCTGGTTCGGTCTGGTTTGACTCACTCATCTGGGTTTGGTTTGGTCTGGTTCGGTCTGGTTTGCTTCGATCCTGGCCTGCTCTGTTCAAACTTGGGTTTGGCACTGGTTTGGGTTTAGGGTTTAGTGGCTTGGTCCCAAACGTTTTGGCTTGGTTTGGTCTGGATCTGTCTAGTTTGATCTATTTTGGTCTGGTTTGCTGCAATCCTGGCCTGCTCTAGTTTAGTTGGGGTTGGGGTTGGGGTTGGGGTTGGGGTGGGGGTGGGGGTTGGGGTTGGGTGTGGGTGTGATTTGGTTTGGTTTGGGTTTGCCTTGGTTGTCTGGTCTGGTCTGGTCTGCTCTGGTTTGGTCTGGTTTGGTTTGATCCTGGCCTGCTCTGATGTAGTTTGGGTTGGGTTTGGGTTTGGGTTTGGGTTTGTGTTTGGTTTGAGTTTGTGCGTGATTTGGTTTGGATTTGGGTTTGCCTTGGTTATCTGGTCTGGTCTGGTCTGGTTTGGTCTGGTTTGGTCTGGTTTGGTTTGATCCTGGCCTGCTCTGGTTTAGTTTGGGTTGAGTTGGGTTTGGGTTTGGGTTTGGGTTTGGGTTTAGGGTTTAGTTTGGGTGTGATTTGGTTTGAGTTCGGTTTGCCTTGGTTGTCCTCTCGACAGGTGGTGGAGCAGCGTCATGCGGGCACACGCAAGTCATCCTTTGTCGCAGATCTTCACAACAATGGCAACGTGGAAACTGATGGGCCAAAATCGAAATTGACTGGCAGCAGACCACCCTCGGCTGTAATTGTGTTGGTGGTCTTTTATGACCCTAAGACTGGAAAAGTTGCGGTCCCGTTCTTTGAGAAGAAAGGGCATAGAGGGCGGCTGTTGCCGATTTCGATAAGGGAAGTGATGGACAATGGTTTGTACCTGGGTAAACCGATGCTGGCAGTACCTCTGAACCTCGGTTGTGAAGCAGAACAGGCAGCACTGAAAGCGCTCAAGCAAGGCATTGCAGCCATTCCCGGAAAGGTACTTTTCTTTCGCTTCTTCTCTCCCGTCTCTCAAGTTTTTGAACTCTCTCTCTCTCTCTCTCTCTCTCTCTCTCTCTCTCTCTCTCTCTCTCTCTCTCTCTCTCTCTCTCTCTCTC